TCGGCACCCGGGCTACCGGATCTGACCGTTGAAGAATAGAACCGCCGACAAAGGAAGAAAAGAGCTTTTCTCAAGCTCAAACACAAGTACATTTGTCGAACACCTTGAAGGACATGCAGCAAAAATCCCCAATTGCTATTAGTCAGCAGCAAAAATATCGACAACCCAATGACGGGACGGCAGAGATAGGGAGCAGAGGAGGGGAAATCGGCCGAGAGAGAAGGAGGGCAAAAATTGGTATTTCAGATTCAGGCAGACAACCAAGAAAAATCAATTTAGGGCAAAAATTTATCATGTAATTACATACCTTCAATGGGAAAGCATGAGTAGTTTGATTGCGGAGAGATTTAATAGACAAAACTCTTCGGGAAAAGCAAAATTTTTGCCAAGAGTTTTGATAGATAGTTTGCCGAGAGAGAAAGAGAGAGAGAGAGAGAGAGATAAGAGAAGCAAAATTTCAGCAGGCAAAATGAGGTTTTGAAATTTCACCTATGTTTTGGCAAAGCAATCTTCCGCCAAAACCAAACGACGCCATTTTGTGTTCTAATTTTTTTGGTGCATCTCACATTTTTTCAAGTGTTATGATAGGTAGTTTAAAGGCACATTATTATTCTTATATCAGATAAAATAAAATAAAAAAGAGTATAAATTATTGATTTGATAACAAGTGTCATGATAGAAATGCTATAATAACACAAACCATCAAGTGTCCTTATAGGTATGTCAGGAAAGACCATTTTTGTTGTAGTGTATCAGTTATCAAAATCCGAGAAACATCACTCCTCTTAGCTTCTAAACCACAAACTCCTTCAATTCCAAATTAACTAATCTAAGAAAAAGGAATAGCGCACAACATTTATCAGTGAGTGGTCCAAATATCAACCAAAATCTCCACATTAAATCCATAAATCGGCAAGCTGACCTCTAACACACACTAACACAACCTGCACTTTTATTTTTAATGTTTTCTATTTTTCTTCTTTTGTTTCCATTTTTTCCTCTCTTTTTTCTTTTTTAAAATAACACGAAAGAGTTAGTCTCTAGCCATTGGAGCTTTTTGATGCGAACTCAGGCATTTTTCAGATGAAAGAGTCCGGTTACTCAACTCTTATCGCTATACGACCATATACTCATAGAAATTACTACTTTTTGACGCGAGAATCGATACTTTTAGGTGAAAATCCCTAGTTACTCAGTAGTAACTAATAGCGGAGTACAGTCAAACTTATTCACAGCCAAATAACACAATAATGCAAAATAACACCTCTAAAAATAAAAATTGGAGCAACTAGCCTCATTATTACTAAATATGGAGAACTAGAGTCAATATTAGACCAATTCATATTAAAATGCCAACAGTCATTCCTTATGCTTAGAAAAGTTAACAAAGAAATCAAAAGAGTCGAGCAATCACCGATATTCACCGAAGAGACGTTCTGGACTCAACCACATTAACTCGATACACTTTTATTATTAAAACATGGCAATAGTAGAATTCGAATCAATAACCCAACATCAAACCTTGGTATTCACATGGGAGCTAAGCCCCAAAAAGAAAGAAAGAAAATGAACGAAAGATAGACAAATAACAAACTAGAAATAAAGGAAAAATACCTAAAAACTAAAAACTACTAAAAACTAGAACCACAACTGATCCCCCCCCACACCTAAACGATACATTACCCTCAATGTAGCAAATAAACACCAAAAGTAGGAGAGAGGGCAACAACACTTTCCTGAAGTCGGATCAAAGTAGTGGGTGATAACCAAATTGCTGCGTAAGACCCGCATGCTGCATAAATGCCGCTAAATTCTGCGCCATGAAATGCACGTTGTGATCAATATTGGTCATCTGAGCCTCCAGATTCTGAACTTGCATCCGAAGTTGATTCCAGTCAGCGGCCCCATGGAGTGGAGGAGGCGCATAGGAGGAGGGGCCAGCGGTATCCTCGGCAGACCCAGGGAACGAAGAGGGCCCTGCCTGTGTCGAATGGTGCGTACCCGGAGCTCGAACCGGTCCCGGAGAGGTAAACTGAAAGAAGCCATTGGGTAGGCACTCGACAACTCCCATCTTCTCTAAGCATTCCACGTTCAGAAACTCCATCTCGAAAGCCAAATGCAGGTCGTGGTCCTGAAGATTAAGAACTCCTAGCTGTACCGCCAAGTGTGTGATGTAGGACCCGAGAATTAGAGGTTTGCTCTTTTTGGCTAAAACGGTCTTGAACTGTGCCGCCAATCAACAACCTAGATTCACCTTGACATTGTTCTTCATACACCAAATGAAGAAGAACTCGGGTCGGGAGAGTATACCAGAGCTATCCTTTCGACCCGAGTAGCTATAGGCTAGAAATCGCTGAACATAACGGGCACTAGGATCCTTAAGAAAGTAGCTCCTAGATCTAGAAAGGTCATAGCGGTGCCTGTCGACAGACATGTCCCTCCAAATGTCGTGGTAGGAAGAGAGAAAAGGCTCGACATAATCACATGCACTCTCAGCGTACTCCCTAGTCTCGGCATACTTCGGAGTAATGAACCCAAATGCTAGATTAAACTAGGTAATAGAGAAGTTGAACTCCTGACCCATTAGGCGGAAATGAATGATATTTGGGGTCTCCACGGTATATCTCGTAGGCAACTCAAATTCAAACGTTGAGTAAAACTCCCTAATTAGCTCGACAAAGGCGGGACAGAAGATATCACGGTAAGGGCACCACCCGATGTTAGTAAACATCTGATCGACCTCCTCCTGGATGCCTAGGCCAATCATAGCATGTTTCTCACAACTCTTGCAGTATATGATACGCCTCTCACAAACCTTAGCGTATCTCTGCTGATCAGCGGGTCTAGTAAAGTTCAAATGCCCGTCGAGGTGAGCGGAGGAGGCCACATGGGCACTCCTACCCCTGCCTAACCGGGTTCGGACACCGGAAGCAGAAAGTTGGTTGATAGGGGTATTGACTGGAATGGAGGGTTGGGGTGGGGGCTGAGATCGAGAGGCTCTAGACCTAGAAGACGATATGGGTCTCACTATGGCCTCAAATAGTCAACTCAATGAACCAAAGAGAAAAACTCCAACAATTACAAAAACCTACAGATGCAATTAGCAGAGACACAATAGGATCCAACAAACGAAATTCAGTAGTCACCAATGCCTCCCAACTTAACAATCAAAAGCAAACACAGGCCACCCAAGCCCAAATATGGTCAACAAAGCAACAGTTGCACTCCAAAATCAACAACCAGAAACTATTATCAACAACTGAAAACTAGCAAAGTCACGTCAATAAGCACAGGGACTACCCAATTCAGTCAGTCAACAAGCAAACTTGGGCCATCCACAATCTCAACAAATGCACTCGAAAATTTCAACGAATGCCCCCACCAGTCAAACCATAACAATTGCCCTAATAATATGCTAAATTCAGCAATAGCAGTGTAGAAAATTAGCAATAGCAACACAGTCACAGGCCCTTGGCAGACAATCAGGTATCCAACCAAATAGAGTTAACACAGGCAAGGAAAAATACGCCAACCAGTACCACTGGTGCAAAATGCAGTCCAACACCAAAGAAATTGCTATAACAGAGCAGAGCAAATGCTTCCTATGGCCCCCAATTCATCAGGCAACAACGGCTTCCAAATTTAACAATAAAAAACAAACAAGGTTCAACCAGACTCCCAACAAATGGTCCCAATTCGACAGTTAATCGCAGAATTTCAACCAATCCAAAAGAAGCAGCAAATTCAAGTAAGAATAGTCCATCCAGTACCACTGGTGGAAATCACAGTAAATGAAGAAAACCAAATGCCACTCCAAACTACTGATAAATTCCAAACGATACCAATCGATACCAAGAGTTAGGGATCGAGTTTCAAATACCTATAACGGTCACCAAATAAAGAAACTGGAGTGGTATTGGTGAAAAGGAGGAGGCGCGGCGCGTGGGTGTGAGCAGAGAGAGGCGGACGGAGAAAGGGACGCCCAGACAGGGGAAGAAAAGGAGAGCTCGCGCGAGGGAGGGAGGAAGTAGCCGCGGCGGAGAAAAGAATGGCGCGTGGTGCATGTGGAGATGGCAGTGGAGCGCGCAAGGTGGGCCGGTGGTTGCACGAGTTGGCGGCGGACGTCGCTGGCGCTGTGGGGCGTCACTGGTTGCTGACAGCCGGCGGCGCACGATGGAGAGTGCTGGAGTGGAGAGGATCTGCGAGCGTGGAGAGAGGGAGATGGAGTGAGGACGGTGACATGCGGCGCCCAAACGATGCACGCGCGGTGTGGGGTGGCGCACGTTGGGGAGACGACGGCATGCTGGCCGTAGTCAGTGAGATCGAGAGAGAGCAGCGGTGAGCTCTGGCGTGCGGCCGGTCCTGGCGGAGCTGGGTTGCATGCGGACATAGAGGGATAGGAAGAGCTGGTGTCGGGCTGAGCTGGAGACAGGGGTTGGCGGCCGATAGAGAGACGGCGGCGTGCGTTGGAGGTGCGGTCAAAAAGGGAGCGAAGTAACAGCGGAGAAGAAAGGAAGAAAAGAAGAAGAAAGAAAGAAAGAAAGAAAAGAAGGAAAATGAAAAAGAAAAAAAAATAGTATTTTTTTTTTATTAAAGTTTGAAATTGAAAGTTTAAGCCACGGTTCAAACAGAAATTTTTTTTATTTTTTAATAATAATTTTTTATATTAATTTGTTTATTTATTTTTTTGATTTATTTTTTTTTATTTATATGAATAAAATTTATTTTCAAAATTTAAAATTAGAGGTTAATAAAAAAAATCGATAACCGTTCTTGAGTTTTTTGAATACTTACCTTTCCCGTGAACGTGACGTGAGCGCGTCAAAAGGGTTAGAACCCTTCTGACCTTGAGCTATTCATATAACATGACGCGGGCACGTCATGAGGGTGAAGACCCTTCTGACCATGAGCTCTCCATATGATATGACGCGGGCGCGTCAAGAGGGCAAGAACCCTTCTAACCGTAAGTTCTTCATATGACATGACGCGGGCGCGTCAAGTCAGAGAGACACCTACAAATTATCAAGAATAAAAGTTTAAGCCAGAAATCTGTCAAACTCAAGGAAAACATACTTAAGCTATTAAACAAAACAAGTAAACAACTAAAAGAAATCGGATTGCCTCCCAATGAGTGCCTTTCTTTAATGTCTTTGGTTAGACATGGTTAACGAGTGCTATTTGGAACACTGTGGCTCATCCAAACGTATCACCTCCACCTCTCCATTTACAAGACCCTCATAATAGTGTTTGAGACGGTGTCCATTCATCACAAATTTGTTGTCTGTCTTAGCACTCTGGATTTCAACTGCACCATATGGAAACACGTGAGTAACAATAAAAGGTCCAATCCAACGAGAACGTAGCTTACCTGGGAAGAGCTTGAGCCTGGATTGGTATAGGAGAATCTTCTGACCAATTTCAAAGGTTTTTCTAGAGATTTGTCGGTCATGAAATGCCCAACTCCTCGCCTTGTAAATTAGTGCATTTTCGTAGGTTTCGTTTCGGATCTCCTCCAATACTTGCAAATCCAACTTCCATTGGGCACCGGCCTCTTCGAGGTTCGTGTTACACTGTCTGATCGCCCAAAAAGCCTTGTACTCGAACTCCACTGGAAGGTGACACAGCTTCCTAAATACCAATCTGTAAGGTGACATCCCTATGGGGGTTTTGTACGCCGTTCGATATGCATAGAGTGCATCTTCCAACCGTTGATTCCAATCTTTCCTATCGGGGCGCACCATTTTCTCCAAGATGGACTTAATTTTTCGATTCGACACCTCCGCTTGACCATTGGTCTGAGAGTGGTAGGACATTAAGACCCTGTAAAGTACACCGTACTTGCGAAATAACGCAGCTACGGTCTTATTTCAGAAATGCGTCCCCCTGTCACTAACAATTGCCCTTGGCATCGGAAAACAGAAAAATATTAGACCTGATAAAATCTGCAACTACTTTCGAATCATTACTCCTGGTGGCCTTAACTTCCACCTATTTAGACACGTAATCGACTGTCAACAAAATATACACAAAACCAAATGAGGTAGGAAAAGACCCCATGAAATCGATACCCCACACATCAAAAATTTCAACAAAAATTAACGGGACATGGGGCATATGATCTCTATGGGCTATATTACCTATCATTTGACAACGATCACAGGACTTACAAAACACATACGCATCCTTAAACAAAGAGGACCAGTAAAATACACTCTCCAGTACCTTATGTGCGGTTCGTTTTGGTCTAAAATGACCTCCACAAGCCAAAGTATGACAGAAAGATAAAATTGACTGAAATTCATCTTCACTTACGCATCGTCTCATTACTTGGTCTGCACATTTCTTCCATAAGTACGGGTCGTCCCAGATAAAATACTTGGCATCACTTTTCAATTTGTCTTTCTTCGATCTTGACCAACCTGCAGGAAAATTACACGTTACTAGATAATTGACTAAATCAGCATACCAAGGCAATTGGAAATTTAAAAAGAACAAGTGCTCTTCAGGGAATGCATCCTTCAATGGCTCGCTCTCCTCCACAACTGGTATGCGACTTAAATGGTCGACTACGAGATTCTCTGAACCTCTTTTATCCCTTATCTCCAAGTCAAATTCCTATAGGAGCAATATCTACCTTATAAGATTCGATTTTGCATCTTTCTTGGTCATTAGGTACCTTAGTGCTGCATGATCAGAAAATACAATAACTTTAGCACCTAACAAATATGACCTGAATTTATCTAAAGCAAAAACATCTGCAAGGAGTTCCTTCTCAGTAGTGGAGTAGTTTAATTGAGCCCCATTCAAAGCTCGGGATGCATAGTAAATGACGTGAACTGTCTTTCCTACTCTTTGCCCCAATACAGCATGATCACTGGTATCGTACATGATCTCAAATGGCAAACTCCAGTCAAGGGGTTGAATGATCGGTGGCGAGGTTAATAGCTCGTTCAACTTGTTGAAGGCTCTCTCACACTTGTTATCGAATTCGAAGGCCACAATTTTTTGCAAAAGCTGGAATAACGGGGCTCCAATCTTCAAAAAATCTTTGATGAACCTTCAATAAAAACCTGCATGTCCAAGAAAAGAGAGCACCTCCGGCACACTCGCGGGGTATGGTAAAGCAGATATAATATCTATTTTCACCCTGTCAACCTCGATACCTTTAGAAGACACAATATGACCCAAAACTATCCCATGCTCAACCACAAAATGACATTTTTTCCAATTAAGTACGAGATTAATCTCTGTACATCTTAACAAGATCAATTTCAGGTTATCTAGACATGTATCAAAGCTATCACCATACACACTGAAATCGTCCATGAAAATCTCAATTATTTTCTCAACATATTCAGAAAAGATGCTTACCATACATCTCTGAAAAGTTGCCGGTGCATTGCACAACCCGAATGGCATCCATCTATATGCGAAGGTCTCGAACGGACACGTGAAAATCGTCTTCTCTTGATCCTCGGGTGCAATTGCTATCTGAAAATATCCTGAAAATCCATCCAAAAAATAATAGTAAGCCCTACAAGCTAGACGTTCAACCATTTGGTCAATGAAAGGGAGGGAAAAATTGTCCTTTTTAGTGACGGCGTTCAACCTATGGTAGTCAATACATTGCCTCCATCCAGTGGGTTTGCGCACTGGCAGAGCTAAAGTTGGAGTTTGAGTGGTATTTCATAGTATCAAAAATATTAAAATGCACAATTTTTTCATCAAATTTCATGGACAAGGTACCCTTATTAACATCAATTTTTGTCTGTGCTGTGCTCAAAAAGGGTCTACCTAATAGAAAGGGTGAAGGGTCGGGTGAGTGATCATCATCTATGTCAAGTACATAAAAGTCAGTTGGGAATACTAAATCATTAATTTTAACCAACATATCTTCAACCAATCCATCAGGATATGCATTAGTTCGGTCAGCTAATTGAATAATTATCCCAGTTTTTTTTAATGGACCGACGTTTAGGGAAGTATAGATAGATTTTGGCATTACATTAATAGATGCCCCTAAGTCCAACATGGCTTTTCTAATCAAAGTATTTTCTATCCTACAGGGGATAGTGAACATACCTGGGTCCCTGCACTTTGGTGAAAGTTTCCTCTGTAGGACCGCCGACACATTTTTCCCAACAATGACTCTTTCATCTCCCCTCAGCCGCCTTCGATTGACGCACAGGTCTCTCAAAAACTTTGTGTACTTCGGCACCTGTTTAATTGCGTCGAACAGGGGAATATTAATCTCTACCTTGTGGAACACCTCCAGGATCTCCTTCTCCTTATCTTGCCTCTTCAATTTTTCCAACCTGTTAAGAAAAGGCGGCGGGTTAGTTTTAACTGTAATAACTGGGTCCAGGAGTACCTTTGGATCTGTGCCATTGCTGTACTCTTTCTCAAGCTCATTTTCGATATTTTCTTCATCCTTATCCTTAGGAATCACTGGCTCGGGTCCTTGAACTTCCTTGCCACTCCTCAAAGTCATTGCACTCACATTTCTCGAATTCAACTCAGGTTGAGATGGCAACTTCCCTTGAACCTAGGACTCCAAACGGTTAATTGCTATCGCCATTTGACTCACCTGACTCTGCAGGGCTTGTACTTGTCCCATTTGATTCCTCATGCTCTACACGTCAGAGTCCGTCTTTTGCTAATTAGCAAGTAATTGCTTCATTATTTCTTCCAAAGACAGACTTGAGTTTGAAGAGGGGGGTGGTGGGAGGCGCGGCTGATACTGCTGTTGATGCCCTTGCTGCCTATTTGGTGCAAAATTGGGTTGCCTATTTCCTCCATAGCTGAATTTAAGGTGATCTCTCCAACCCGGGTTGTATGTGTTCGAGTACGGGTCATAGGCCTTTCTTGGCGCGGGCGCGTGACCAGCCATGCTCACCTGCTCTGCAGTTTCTTCCTGAGCCAGTGGATACACCTTCGTAGAATGACCCACGACAGCACATACATTACACACTTTGGTTTGTGAGGCACTTCCTACAGCTAATTGTCGCACGAAGGATGTCAATTCAGTAATTTGCTGCTGGATAGAGGATGTTTCTACCTCATTCACCCTACACGTTGGGACATCCTCCCGCGTACGAAATTGCTGCGAATTCTCAGCCATTCCTTCAATTAGCTCCCATGCTGCCCGGGGAGTCTTGTTCACTAACGCTCCTCCACTTGCAGCATCGATTATACTCCTGTCCCTGAAGAGTAGGCCCTCATAGAAGTATTGAATGAGCAACTGCTCACTTATCTGGTGCTGGGGGCACTTGATACACAACATCTTGAATCTCTTCCAACTCATAGAGGGACTTGCCTGGGTGTTGCTTGATACCGCAGATCTCCTTTCTTAGACTTGCAGCTCGAGACGCCGAAAAATATTTGTCCAAGAATTTTTTCTTCAGCTGGTCCTACGTGGTGATACTATCTGGTGGCAAATAGTACAACCAGTCTTTTGCAGAGTCCTTCAAGGAGAAAGGGAATGCCCTCATTTTTATCTGCTCTTCTGTAATACCTGGGGGTTTCATGCTGTTACAAACTACACCAAACTCTTGCAAGTGTTTATACGGCTCCTCACCTGATAAACCATGGAATGATGACAAAAGATGAATTAGACTAGATTTTAATTCAAATGGAGTGCTATCATTTAAATTTGGAAAAGTAACGCATAGAGGTTGCTGATTTAAATTGGGAACAACCAACTCCCTTAGTGTTTGTGCATTCGCCATGGTGACTTTCTCTTGGTCTGAATCACTTGAGTTATCACCACGCAAATCCGTTGACTCAACCTCTGGATCAAGTCCTTGAGATGCAACACTGGACTGCTCCTCTCTGAGCTGTCTGGTTTCCTTTCTCGTTCTACGTGCGATCTTCTCTACTTCAGGGTCGAAAATTAATTCGCCTGTACGAGAAAAACGAGGTATAAACTAGAAAAATATCAGAAAATTAGAACAAAATTGGAATTAAAAAGAAACAAATAATTAACACAAGTCCCCAGCAACGGCGCTAAAAATTGACAGGTTGTCGAAGCCTGTACAATAATAAAAATAAGTCTAATTGCCAGTTAAAATAGCAAAAACGCGATTTCAAGTACTGGAGCAGGGACTTTAGGTGTGCAATGGGTTACTTGATTCACCATATTTCCGAAGAGTTTGTTTGATCCGATATACCCGAATGGGATGACTTTTTTCACAAATAATTATGAATTTGTAGACAGGGCAAGTAGACTCGTATCCTCAAGGACTGTGGATATTTGTCTCTTAAGAAGTCCAAAGTAACACAGGGGGTGATTTTGTAGAAACGATGACAATCAAAGAAATTCAAATAAAAAAATAAAAATGAATAACTAACTAGAAATTAAATGGCAATTCACTAAACTTAAAGTAACAATAATTAAAGGTCCAAAACAATTTAAACAAGAAAATAATTAAAAATAAAATTAAATAGGCAACTAAAAATTAAATGGCAATTCCCTAAAATCAAGGTAATAAAAATTAAAGGTCTAGGCAAGAAATAACTTCAACAATGGTTCACCTAATTGATTATTGATGCACGAGCAATTCCAATTATTTATTAATAAATAGGTTATAACTGCCAAACAAGTGATGACAGTCAATCCCTCCTTACTGTGTCGGTGATTAAGGTACACCTGTTAATCACTGCTCTAATTGAGAAATAATTCTAGGTACGCTCATAAGATTTAATTCCCCAATTGCCTTACGTATTAGAAGAGTCATATTCT